ACCGAGATCGTCCACTATTGATGGCTGCCAAACAAATACTGAACAACGTAGCGTCTTCAAACTTCATAGTTAAGCTTTAGAAAATTGGTGCTTTCCCCTACAGTGATTTTTTTTATACAACAACCGCCATTTGTACGTGAGGTCGAATACTTCTGGGACCACCCTCGTATATGCTAATTCAAATTATATTTTATGCTATATAAAAACGGTAATACTGTATTTATAATATTATAGATTCCATTATCCAGTATAGCAAAGTTATAAAAATATTCCTGAATATGAACTTCATAAAAAATAAAAACATCAAAAATGTGGCGGTATAAACTTTTTTGCTATTTGACTCATCACTTTTTAATATATCCCATTACGAAACGTCGATTTAAAACACAAGTAAGCAATTTTTTGTATTTAGAAATCTACGAGTACGTAAATCTGATTTGATATCTGATTTGATATCTGAAATCTGATTGATAATACCGTTCACAAAGTGAAGATTAGAGTTTAATTTTGACACTCACTTCTTCTGCTATTGATACAAAATCATTTTCTCTCGCGGTTAATGAGAAATGTATGTTACTATGTTATTACATCGAGATCTAGCAGCGCTAAGTATTTTTACATAAAAAATTTGTCTATTTAAATTAAATTTTTTTGTTTTATACGGTTAACTCTTTAATTTTTTGTGATAACACTTAAATTGAGCAAGGTAACGGAATTTTGTGATAATGTTTTGTATAATATTTTGAAGGAAAATTAAATAACCACTACTTTCGTTGGATGAGAAAATGTCTTTGAATGAATTGTGATATAATAATTTTATTTAAGAGGAATTTAAACCATTTGGATTGAAATAAAAAGATCCTTCAATAAGATATATACGAGGTCTGTTCAAAAAGTATCGCGAATTTTGTGTTTTTTCAAAAATTATTTATTTATTCATGAATATCTATTTTGTCCCCTTCAAAGTAATCCCCATCAGATATTATACACTTGTGCCAACGTTTTTTCCAATCCTCGAAGCACTTCAAAAAATTATTTTTTGTGATCTTGTTCAGCTCCTCCTTCGATGCCGTCTTTATCTCCTC